CGGAGTCTTAGGAAAACAAATAGCTTCATGTGTGCTAATGGGTCCCAAACTGACCTCTTTGGGGTGAGCATCCCCCTATTATTTGGGGTGGTGACATCTCTTTCCCCAGTAACCACTCTGTTACCAGATGTGCTTAAGACAGGTATAAACTCATACATATTCTGAGAATACACAGCTCTACGAGACCCTTGAATGGAGCAAGTCTTGACAGGTTGGTTCTAGGCACTCACAGTGAGCTACTTCACAAACTATATTTATATATTTGGAATTTATTTAACACATAATCAAAATATGCAGAGCAATTATACTGGTGATCATCAAATATTATTGTAAAGAGTCAAGTAGCTCATAAATGACAAACACATATATATTGAACAAATAAAATATATAACAGGGTGAATAAAATGCAGTTCTATGAATCAGGCTTTGCTGACGTTGAGGAAATGGACTGAAAGAACGTATTCATGGCAGAAAGGAGAGGCTGTCACACTTTCAAAACAAGGCCATGAATGCAAGGTTACAGTGAGTTTATGGTTCTGGGAAGTAGCTGAGGTTGTGGCAAAGCAAATTCTCAGGACTAAGGAAGAAGACAGGAGGAATTGAATTCTAACAGGGAGTCTAGCTACAAGTCTGATTTATAAGATTACTAGGGCAAAGGCTGCATTAAACAGCTGGGATCATGACCACAAGGTGGTTTAAAGATATTAACCCTTTGGTAAAGGTACCAGATACTATCTGATCTTGGAAGCTAAGCAGGATCAGCTCTGATTCGTACTTGAATAGGAGACTACCAAAAAATATCAGGTGCTATGGGCTGTATTTCAGAAAAGAGGACAGGGCCTACCCGTCTCTGGCTGGATGGCTCTCAGATTGCTGGAATTATGGCTTTAGAACAGAATGGGCAAAGTGAAGTCTTGGGACAGCATGTGGTTCCCTAAGCTGTTTTTATGGTCAACACCTCAGGAAATTGTTTTAACAACAACAACACAATATGAGGATTTAAAGATTAAACTGCAAAGACTCTGGCACAAACCAGTAAAGGTGGTCCCAGTGGTGACCGGCACACTGGGTGCAATGCCTAAGGACCTTGACCTGCACTTAAACACAGTGCTGACAAGATTACCATCTGCAAGCTGCAAAAGGCCACCTTACTGGGATCTGCATGCATTATTCACCGATACATCACACAGTCCTAGACACTTGGGAAGTGTCCGACGTGTGATCCAATACAACAGCCAGCAGAGTGTCTGCTGTGGACTCATCTTGTTGTGTTTCAAATAATAATAATAATAATAATAATAATAATAATAATAATAATAATAAAAAATATCACACAGTCCTAAACGCTTGTAATTTTGTGATATGAAATCCAGTATATATCTCTCGTTTGCTGTGTCATAGTGTTTTTATGTCAGTAAAATAATAATAACAACAAAAACAACTTTATTTTTATACCCCTCCACCATCTCCCCCGGTGGCGCAGTGGGTTAAAGCACTGAGCTGATGAGCTTGTTGATCGAAAGGTCGCAGGTTCGATTCTGGGGAGCGGAGTGAGCTTCCGCTGTCAGCCCTAGCTTCTGCCAACCTAGCAGTTCGAAAACATGCAAATGTGAGTAGATCAATAGGTACCGCTCCGGCGGGAAGGTAACGGCGCTCCATGCAGTCATGCCGGCCACATGACCTTGGAGGTGTCTACGGACAATGCTGGCTCTTCGGCTTAGAAATGGAGATGAGCACCACACCCCAGAGTCAGACATGACTGGACTTAATGTCAGGGGACTACCTTTACCTTTACCTACCATCTCCCCAAGGGACTCGGTGCGGCTTACATCAGACTAAAAATTCAAATTAAAACACACACAATTAAAAAAAAACGAAACTAGACAACAAATATCAGAAAAACATTACAATCACAGTACACATTTTAAAAACAGCATCATGGCTGAAAGATTAAGTACTGAGTGCGGAGGGATCAGGGAATGTGCAATCATTCCTAGATAGAGCCAAGAGAAAGTTCCAAGATTTGCTTCAAATTCAGTTGAGGTCACAGCTTGGAGGATAAAGTCCATCCCAGGTTTTCTATCTGGGACGGACGTGCTTCTAGGTACTACTCAGTACAACCTCTCAGGTAGGTTACAAGGCACCCTTGCAATCTTTAACACAATAAATAAACAGAAGTGGGCCCATCTATCTACAAATCTGGTTTGCTCCTCTAGGCAAGCCTCTGAGACTGTCTCCTGGAGTTAATATTTCGTTTATGTTGGGACACTGGGCATCATGGGAAATGTAGTCCGCTGAGCATGGTGGAAAATGTGGTAGAACATAGCTCAAGAGTGTCAGATTTGGAAAAGCTAGATTAAAACATTGCTTTCTGACTCATTCAGTACACTGAGTGGTATGTTGTAGGAACTGCAGTTCTGTAGGCCATTTTGAAAGAGTTAGGTGACCTACAAAACTGCATTACTATGGTAGGGTTCACCCGGTGTTGAAGATGTGTTCTAGTGGATCCACCTTGCCATCTCCTCTTTTGCTTGGCTTCCCTATCCACTAGTCCTTCACTAAATACAACTGGCTTTGTTCCACTAACCTACTTGACAAAAATTGCTGTCACATGAGTCAATGCACCTGGAAACGGTGGTGTTGGTGGTGGGGGTGGGGCGGGTGGTGGTGGTGAGGGGGGTAGGGCGGGTGGTGGTGGGGGGTGGGTGGTGGTGGTGGGGGGTGGGTGGGGCGGGTGGTGTTGGTGGTGTCTGGTGGTGAGGCGGGTGGTGGGGGTGTAAGAAGTGGTCGCCACCATGGCAGAGGTCCCTGTCTTGTTATTCATTCAAGGTATTCTCAGTTTTCAGAGCACTTGATGTGTTCTCTCTTTTTAATTTCCCTTGTTTGGCTATCAACTTGTATATTGATTTATATTTTTAAAAAATCACAGCAAAACAATGCAAAACAGCGTATCTACCTATCTGTCTATGTGTTTGTCTCTCCATCTGTTTGTTTCAAGTTCATCTATGTGGTCCTGGGAGCAAGTTTATGGACACTTGGAGAGAACTTCCTTCCCTTGAACTATTCAACCAAAAAACAAAACCCAAAAAGTGCGTGGAAACACTTTTGTTCATGCCTTTGTTATAGTAAAGGCCCAACATATTTCCCATTTTGCTCAGAGGTGTACTTTCATAATCCAGATTTTTCTCAGGATTCAATGTTGAAAGGCCTTTTTCCCCAAATAACATCTCAACATTAATCTGCTGAAGAAAAAACAAACAATTTTATTTAATTGTCTCACAAATGGGTTGGATCAGATAGCCCTAGAGATTCCAAGACCTCCCTTGAATTAAGGATATCTCTCTTTCAACTCTCAAATTGGAGGTGCATTTCTACATGCCATCTCCGGGGTGTGCTAGCCACATTGTTATAACAGTAGGAGTTTGAATTATGAGTTGGGGGCTATGCGTCCCTGGCTAATCTCTGCCTGAATGAAGAAGAAATATAGCAAGTGTATGTGCCCACATTCTGCCAACCTAGCAGTTCAAAAACATGTAAATGTGAATAGATCAATAGGTACCACTTCGGCAGGAAGGTAACGGCGCTCCATGAAACCATGCTGGCCACGTGACCTTGGAGGTGTCTATGGACAGCACTGGTTCTTCGGCTTAGAAATGGAGATGAGCACCACCCCACAGAATCAGACACGACTGGACTTGGGTGTATTCTTTTGAGTCCAGGGTGTTTGAATGTTGTAGGACAGCCCAAGTTACAATTGCTAGTGGTGCAGGATGATGGAGTCTGGATTGTTGTAGGTGTTTTCGGCTATATGGCCATGTTTTAGAGGCATTCTCTCCTGATGTTTCGCCTGCATCTATGGCAAGCATCCTCAGAGGTAGTAAGGTCTGACCTCACTACCTCTGAGGATGCTTGCCATAGATGCAGGTGAAACATCAGGAGAGAATGCCTCTAGTTCAGGGGTCCACAAACTTTTTAAACAGAGGGCCAGGTCATAGTCCCTCAAACTGTTGGAGGGCCGATTATAATTTGGAAAAAAATGAATTAATTCCTATGCACACTGCACATATCTTATTTGTAGTGCAAAAACATTTAAAAACAATACAATAATTAAAATTAAGAACAATTTTAACAAATATAAACTTATTAGTATTTCAATGAAAGTGTGGGCCTGCTTTTGGCTGATGAGATAGGATTGTTGTTGTTATTGTGTGCTTTCAAGTAGTTTCATACTTAGGTTGACCCTGAGCGAGGGCCGGATAAATGACCTTGGAGGGCCGCATCCGGCCCCCGGGCCTTAGTTTGAGGACCCCTGCTCTAGAACATGGCCATATAGCCCGAAAAAACCTACAACAACCCAGTGATTCCGGCCATGAAAGCCTTCGACAATACAATGATGGAGTCAGTGGTCAGGTGGTCTAGAAAGTAGATCAATAAGTACCACTCTGGCGAGAAGATAACGACCCTCCATGCAGTCATGCCAGCCACATGACCTTGGAGATGTCTGTGGACAACGTCGGCTCTTCAGCTTAAAAATGGAGATGAGCACCAACCCCCAAAGTCGGACATGACTGGACTTAATGTCAGGGGAAAATCTTTACCTTTACTAATCTGGAAGGCCACATTTTGCCCACCCTGATTTAGATTGACAGGGAGAAACAAAATATTTGGTTTCTGTTACAGTTTCTCATAACCAGTCATTATATGATACCATAACCCAGATTTGGGGGGATGACCAGTATTGCCCCCACTTATGCCAGGAATCTCTTGAATGACCCTTTCTTTTGTGGGCATCTCTTTGCAGCTTTGCTCTGCTCTGTTAACTCAGGAGTGTGACGTTTTTAAAATAGTGCACAAAACTTGATGGGAAGTCACTGGACCAAGTATTCATCTGCTCTGGCAGCTGTCCATCTCCACTCCCCCACCCCACCTACTTCCCCAGTGCTGTCCCACTACTAACAGATGCCCTTATCTTTTTTTTGTTTCCTTGTTAATCCTTGTAGATTCAACAAACAGTGGCTCAGCTAAGTCAAAGGTAAGAGCATCTCTATGCCACAACATTTGGGTAAACGTTTAGAATGGGGGACAGTGCACAGGAGTTTCCAGATTTGCCCTCAATCCCACCTGTTTGCAGTTGATGTTGTTTCCATATTTGTACTTCTTCATCCGGATGTACAAGACTATTTTAATACACACCATTTGTACATCCAGTGAAAGTCAACATAATCATCATCATCATCATCATCATCATCATCATCATCATCATCATCATCAGAATTATATGTTGTATGGAACCACTGCTGTTTCTACTGTTTTTACTGTTTGTGAACCGCTGTGAGTCGCCTTCGGGCTTGAGATACAGCGGTATATAAGCAAAGTAAATAAATAAATATAAATAAATAAATAATCAACTTTATTTATACCCCACCACCATCTCCCCAATGGGGACTTGGAGTGGTTTACATAGGCTGTGGAACTCCACTATAACAACAGGTTATGCTTAGAAGCACAGGTTAAGAGCTTGAAAGATGATGGAAACATTATTCACCCATGTTTTGAGCATCAACAGAACGTGTCTCCTTCTCATCTTGGAGTTGTTGCGTGTTGAAGTGACATAAGAATTACAAACATGATAATAGCAGGCACCATGAATATGGAACAGTTACAGATAAATAATTATAGCTAACTGTTCTTTTAAACCACTGAGCAGCTAAAGATCAGTGGTTTGAATCTGGGGAGCAGTGTGAGCTCCTGCTGTTAGCCCCAGCTTCTGCCAACCTAGCAGTTTGAAAACATGCAAATGTGAGTAGATGAATAGGTACCACTTCAGTGGGAAGGTAATGGTGCTCCATACAGTCATGCTGGCCACATGACCTTGGAGGTGTCTACAGACAATGCCAGCTCTTTGGCTTAGAAATGGAGATGGGCACCATCCTTCAGAGTCAGAAATGACTAGCGTCAATGTGAAGGGGAAACCTTTACTTTGCTTTTAACTGTTCTGTATTCATGACCTCTATTTACTTAGCTACTTATTAATGCAACTAGGTTAACTAATTTAACTAAATTAGTTAACTAATTTAGCTAAACAGCTGATATAAAATAGAGGCCATAATCTTTGGGAATCTTAACTCCCAGAATCCCAAAATTAATATACAAGAGAGTTGTAGATGCAGAAAGTAATGATTCCTGGTTCTGCATATGAGTGACAGCTGCTAAGTTCCAGAAGTTGAGTGGTGGTTAATAACATTTTTAGTGATGGAGACAAGGCTTCGTTGTCCTTGCCCCTTCCTTGGATAGCAAAAATAAGGTAGGTTAAGTAAAATGGAGGAGACACGAAGAGGAAATTACACAAAAATGGAATTTAGTAAATTTGCAAAGATTGTTATTTTAGCCACCAAATATCTCTATTAATTTTTGCATCCCACTGCTTCAGTTTGTAAAAAAAGCAATTACCAGGTGGTTGGCGCTGGATGTTGTTGATACAGGATTTTTAGTAGAAATCCATCTTCTGTCCACAAGGGCAAGGAAGGCCAAGTCCCATCCCCCCCCCCCCCAGCAATATACTTTTATGTACAAGAGTTAATAATCCCAATGTTTGCAATGTAAACATTGGAATTATTAACTGTTATATATATATATATATACACACACAAAAAGGGCGCACAACTGGGATGGGGCCAAATTTCTACTCCCTCAAATCCCAAGTGTTCCAAAATATAGTCTTTTCTTTCCATTGCCCTGTACAATATCCCAATGCCATTTTAAAGGGGAAGTGAATGGAAGGAAAAGTGCATGAAAAAGATTAGGAGGGGGAGGGAGGGGATGTTTGTATGTTTGCATGGATTGCCCCCTCCATTGCATCTCTTAAAAATTGGGAAATTCATAGGGATTTGACGGGTGCAGGGGCCACAAAGGATTTGCAAGACTACGTGTGCTGCAGCAATTACTCTTTCTCCACATCCTAATCTACATGTTATTTTATCTATGTGTGATAGAGGAGAGATGTAATATTATTCCCTCCAATTTCAAATTCACTTCTGCTACTGATGGTACAGGTATAGCACCTTTGCACCCTATGTAGCTGCTACCTTGTGTTCTGTGGTCACATTACCTGGTGGGATAGAGCCACCATTCTGATTGTAAATATATTTCCTAAAAGGGGAGAATAAATAATAATAATAATAATAATAATAATAATAATAATAATAACAACAACACTTTATTTATATTCCACCTTTCTCACCCCGAAGGGGACACAGGGTGGATCACAGTACATATACATGGCAAACATTCAATGCTGCTTTGTATAGACAATACACAGAACAGAAGGAGGTGGTTTGTTTCAACTGTTTTGGTGCCATGGAAGGTTGGGCTCGAGTCCATGGGGTGCTGTTGCTCTATCCTCTATGACAAAGAGCCATCAGGACTTCCTCCTTCCTTTTGGTCACCCAGCATTTTCTGATCTTCTTTCTTTATGGCGTCGTAAAACACCTCCCCCGCATTTAGTAGTACCTAATTTCTCTAATCACAGCTAAAACTGTTTTTGAATTGCTTAACAATGAGTTAGGCTGACAGTTGGCAGCTCACGCCAACCCAGTGCTTCGAACTTGCAACCTTTTTGGTTAATAGATCTTATAATTGCTGGTGATTTACCAGCTGTGCTAAACCTCTGGAGAAAGCTATCTTCTTGGCTCATTTTGAGCCTAAACAAAGCTCATTTCTAGTGGTAGAAAATCTGAATTTAGGTTTCTAAGCATCATGCATTCTATTTTGTCACTTGGCAGGCCTGTAGCCAGGAGGGGCGGCTTGAGGAGCTTCATCCCCCCCCCCCAATTCTCATGGTGGTCTGCAAGAAGGCCTTACTGGTACATTATTTAAACTGTTATGTTTATTCATATCATTATCTGATCACCATGCTCAATATATCCCATATGCATGGGAGTATTGGGGTAATGATACAAAAGGTTTGCTAGGGTAGACCCTTTTTCACTCAGACTCAGCGCCCCCCCCCCCCCACCCCCCCCCCCCCGAATCAAAATCCTGGCTACAGGCCTGTCACTTGGGCATATGAACATATTAGTGATTTAAGGAGTTATTATCCTAGGGTCAACATGTCACACAACCAAGTTTAGTGGGACCAAATGCTTCTGTTATGTCTTCTCTTGGACACATCTTCCCTTTTTTTTATCCCTGCTCACAGGCTTCTTGGGGCTCACGGAAGGAGCACTACCACAAGGAGATGCTTGCCATCTCCTTCATCTCAGCTGTCAATCGCAAGAGGAAGAAGCGGAGAGAGGCCAAGCGTTTTGGGAGCAGCACAGATGATGATTCTGAGCATGAGTTGGCTGCCAGGAGAGATGGGGAAGAAGAGGCAGTGGCCCAGGAGGAAGAAAAAGAGGCTCAAGGGCTGAGGAGCAGCAGGGGCAAAGGTCCGGTGCCTGATGGGCAAAGTGTTCCAGAGTGCTCTGCAAAACTAGAAACAGAGTTGGAAGAAAGGAAGCTGGTCACACCTCAGGTGACTCTAGAACCAGCACCAGATGCCCGCTCCATTGTGTCGGGTTACTCCACCCTGTCCACCATCGATCGCAGCCTCTGCTCTGAGGTTCAGTCAGTAGCAGAGAGTCGTGGGGAGGAGGCAGATGATGAGCGGAGTGAATTCAGCCATGTAGAGACGGATACTGAGAATGGTTTTGTGCCTGGGCAGGCTGGGTTGCTATCAGATGGAGCTGGAATGGCGGCAGCAGGAAAGGGAGGAGCTATTGTGCCTGACAAAGGATCCCAAAACCGAGCCTCTTTCAGCTCCCATCACCTTATGCAGTGCGATACCCTGGCACGCCGCAAGCTCTCGCGGCCTCGGCGCAATAGTGAGGCCTCTTCCAAGGGCAGCACTGAAGCCTCCAGCTCAAGCTTGCCAGGTAGCCAGGAGTCACTGCAGCCTGCAGGTGCCACAGAAGCCCACGTCCGGCATTCTCTCACAGAGCAGCTGCGTCTTCGCTTCCGTGGCTCAGCAGATGACATGTTGGCAGTGCGCCTCCGCAAGCCACACTCACCTGAGACACGACGCAAGAAGAACAGCTGGCGGCGCCACACTGTGGTGGTGCCTGGAAGCCTGAAGGACCTCAACTACAATGAATGGAAAGAGCAACATGTGTTGGGGGCTCTTGAGGCTGCTTGCTCACTAGACTCCTCAAGCAGAGATGCCCTGAAGGACAACAAGGATTCTGGACTTAGCAGCCTGGAGTCAACAAAAGCTCGGCCTTCTTCAACCACACTTGGTAGTGTGGTAGCTCCTAACCACCAGGGGAGTGGTGAGCAGCCACACCATAAGGGTGCTTCTGAGGGGTGCTCAGCTCCCCGACGTACTGCCTCCTTACGCTTTCACCAGTGTCTCTAGGTAGCCTGCCATAGAAGCTCTTGTTTGAATGGCTGAGATGAAGCTCTGGCCATAACAGTAGCCTTGACCTGAGATTGGAAGTGGGCAGCCATAGATACAGCTCCTCACTTGAGCTCACTGCTGGCCTGCCTTGCTTTCATCAATACCTCAGTCTTCAGCATAGTAAGAATCTCTGCCCAGCCCCAACCTGCCCTGGCCTCACTTTCTCATCCCTTTCTCCCTGGTATTAATTTAATAACATCCCTATTATTTGTGACGTGCGGTTTTATTTATTTCCCCATCCCCCCTCATGCCCCCAGGGTGGTTGTTGGAGAAAAGTTACAGTAGGTGGGATATGGAGACGGCTGTTTACCCAGCCCAGAAGAGGGTTTTATCTTAGTTCGGTGCTGGAAAAGTACCTAGATGATGGGAGGACCAGGACCATTCTTGCTTCCAAGTGCTGGTCTTCTGCATGTGAATTTCTGGACATATTTTTGAAGGAGAAGGCAAGTAGAAGAGCAGAACTCAGAATTGCTCTGGGTTACTCAACAAGAGTCTCTTCCTCATTTCTAGCAGTTTAGTTTGCCTCTTCTATGTTGAAGTGAGGTAAAGCTTTGAGATAGGGAAACCAGAACAGAGATGTTCATGGATTCAAGCCCATGTTTCTATTTGACCACTGCCAAATGTTACCAATCAAAGCTGTCCTATGCCATTCTGCCTCTGGAGTCTGTTTTTTATGGTGAGGAACTCATCCTCTTCTTCTTCTCTCTTCCCACTCCTCTCACTAATATTTAAATAATAACCAACTATTATCAATATTGGGACTTTAAATGGCTCCCAGTAAACACTCACTGCCCATGTTGTGCCTTTTCCTAAGATTAATGAATAAAGCACTCAATCCCCAAATTTCCCATCAAGTTTTTGCAAAGCTTGAACTGATGGGAAACTGTCCCGGTGCATACCCCAGGCCCATGGAGATCATCCTACTGATGGAGAAACCAAAAGTAAAGAGACATCATGACCCCCAAAGAGTCAAGAATAGTCTTTATTCTTCCAAGGATTCTGAACAGTTTGTGTCACTCTAAAGATGTGCACTTCTGGATTTACACTCCTTCCCTTTTTTCCTTGCCCTTCTTAATGATTTGAAGTTGACTGAAGTCTCAGTCAAGACGATGCTATGTACACTGGTAGCCTCTGTTAAAAGTGTGCGAAACCCTTTGGCAAGAAGAGCATGTTGTCTGCCTCTTTGAGCATTTGCGAATCTCCTTAAAATATTCCTGTTCAGCTGCTCAGAACTTGAAGGAAAAAATTCTAGGCATTGGACTAAGCTCCCTGACTTATTTCTTCTCATAACACTTTGTACAGACCATAAGAAGTAGGTTCCCTGTGTACAGTTTAAAGAATGCAGCATTTGGAGTAGAAATGATGGTTGTTGTGCAGATGAGAATAGCTGGCTATGTTGATACTTGTGACAACTCTTTATTACTTTTGGTGCTAAAGAGGATATGTGGGGTAAACCACCTTTCCTTGCCCTGTAAACTATCTTCACGCCACTGCTGTGTAGACTCCACCCACCCTCAACCCACTGCAGTGCAGGAAGTCAGGCGTTGGGTGTGGGGTAGGCATAGGGACTGTGTGATTTGTAGAGTGGGGTGTGGACAACAAGATGTAGATGACAAGCACATCTGATTCTCTTTCCAGTGCCTCTGTACAGCTATGCCATATCAGAGTCTAAAAGGATCTAAAAAGAACTTAGCTTGAAGGACTCCCAGAGTAACAGCTCATTCTAGTCTTTTCCAACAATGACTCAAAATGACAAATCCTACCATTTGTGTTATGCAGTTGCTCTTCCAAAGTCACTCACTGAGAAAGAAAACACAATAACACTGGTTGGTGCTCAACTTATTTTTGATCGTCTTCCATACTTGGTCTTCTCATGATGTTGGACAGAAACAGGCAAAGGTCTCCTGCTTTTTATTCTCACACATCAAGGCAGATTTCTCATGTTTGTGGGTGTTTTGAAGTGAAAGACCTCTTAGATTCTTTTCCCCCACCTTCTGGGCATAAATCCTCCCCACTACTTTTTCTTTGTAGAATCTCATGTGCTCATTAAGGCACATGACAAAAAAGGGTGATGTGTGATGAGTCAATATGGGAGGTGCCCTTTAACATTTGAAGACTATAAGAAGTGTATGGACTTTGTAAATGTCATGAGTAAGTACACAATCATCTTGGGGGATAGGAAGCCTCGCCATGAAATGAGCCTCTCTTGTTTCCATGCAGATAAACTTTCTTCTAGTGGCAAACTCATCCAGTCAAGTCAACAATTAGACATTTGAGTCAAATACATTTTTGAAGAAACGGCTTTGTCCTTTTCATGAGTTTCTAAGGGTGGTTCAGAGCAAGTAAGAAGATGCCCTGCCTACTCCATAAGGTAGTGATTCTCAACCTGTGGGTCCCCAGGTGTTTTGGCCTACAACTCTCAGAAATCCCAGTCAGTTTACCAGCTGTTAGGATTTCTGGGAGTTGAAGGCCAAAACATCTGGGGACCCACAGGTTGAGAACCATGGCCATAAGGCCATTTGGAGGCTGGACTCAGTGAAAAAAATAGTGGGATTCAAATGTAGTAAATAAAATACGGAAAATACTGAATTCCACCATTTAGAAATGACTGCAGTATCAGATTATTTATGGTAATTGTGAATTTTATATGTGAAAAGTAAGGCCTCAAGTCCCTTATGGTCCCACCTGCACTGACTTTAATGCAGTTCCAAACCAGAATTAAAGAAAGTTGTTTTGATTACAAAGGAAATACTGGAACCAGTTAGAGGCCTGGATGGTGATTCCAAAAACCACAGAGCACTGGTGCACATTAAGGGCTTTCTTTCGTACAAGTTTGTTGTCTGGCCGCTACAACTTCAAGCTGGTTTTGAACTACATTAAATGGTCAGTGTAAATTGTTACATATTTGTATCACAGTTCCTCTGAGCAGATCAGCTCTTCTTTTGCGTTGCAGCCCTGTGAAGCCTGCTCGGTTGAGATGAGGTTGTTTGGCTCACATTTCCAGACTGAATAAATCATAGTTTATGACAGAATTTCAGAGTTGCCCACTCTCCACACACACAGATTCTTCCCTTTTTTAAAAAAAATCCTCCCACCCATCAAATACATTAGTATTTTATTTCTGACGTCTGTTAAAGCCTCAGTTCCCAATTATGTCCAAAATGGGGAAATCTAGTTTAACATCAAGTTAAGAGCTAGGAGAATGAGGCAAATGCAAGAGAAAGGGCAAGGAATACCTTTGATTTTCAGCAAGTTGTGTTGATTGCATGAGGATTTGAACTCTGGTCTCCATACACTTTAATCAGATCACGGTGATGGCAGGCACTGCACACATGTGATGATCTTTTTCAACGGAAGGCTTGCTCATTTGTCTATGCTTATAAATACTGCACATGGGCTGCCCAAAGTGTTTTGGTGGGAGCTTTTCAAGGTACAACTCTGAGTCATCATCTGCTCCAGTGAGAAATCAAGTGATGGGCACATTTGTGACAAGCATGACCTCTAAGGGCTAGTGATGTGTAAAATCTATATGTGAGTGACATGATTGCTAATGTGTGAATTAATACACAACTTCGGGGGTGTGTGCGTTTCTCATTTGGTGAGAGAATGAAGGCACAGATGGCTTGGCAATCAAGGCACTGATAAACTTTTTTAAAAAACGCAGCATTTATATTGAGTCTTTACATTATCATTCTCTGACTTCATCATCACTTAATTATTTCTGCGCATCAGTGGGAAGCAAAGCCAGGCAAAATTCCTCCATAGGTTTTGAGAGCCAGACTTAACATCTGGCCCATTAGATCCTAGTAAGAACTCTCTGTATTTCTTCCAGAACTGCAATCTTTTAAACATTAAACAATTCAGACATGAACAACAGTAATGAAAGGGCCAACCATATAGACTGCATTGTGATTAGTCACAGTTATACACATTCACAAGGCCATTTCAGATTGTCTAATGTTTAAAATAATTATAGCACAAAAAATTGACGAGCTGCAATCTAACAAAAGCCATGTAGATTCAACAGCAAATTGATGCCACCAAGTAATATCTAATGTCCGTTTTAGGTTAAATTTGGTCGTCGACCAAAGTGATGCTAAGAGAAGTAGATTTGAATATGGAATTAATTTGAATATGGAAGATTTGAATATGATTTGAATATGGACTTGGAATCTCACTGTAATTCAGGAATTGACCTAATTCCTATTGTTGGTTCTGAATACAGTAGAGCTGTTGAATCAGTCAGGTTAACCTATGTGTTGATTCACCATTCAGCAAATGATTGGATGGGTCTATTTTAGTTGGGACTAGCCAGTCATCCTCACCCTTCTATTATGAAAGGAGATATCTTCCATCTCTTCACTGAATTGAATGGGATTTTCCTGCTTCTTGGCAGGAGGTTGGACTGGATGGCCCACGAGGTCTCTTCCAACTCTATGATTCTGTGATTCCTCCTGGTCTGTAGTTGTAACCTCCCAGGCCAATAAATGCATAGTATCCAGCGATAACTTCCATTGGAAGTAACAAGTGCATACAAGCTTTCAGAGATCAAAAACACACCAGGAATCCTCATGATCCCTCCTGTGTAGGGAAGAATTTTGCACAACTTGGAAACTTACATAGCCCTGAGTTTTCTCCAATGGTGTAAAAACTTCCCTTCAGTTAGAAATAAGGGAGGGACTGGCCCATTCTCCACTGTTGAGATATCCAAGGTTTCAACAGAGGGGTAGGGTTTCATAAGAGAACTCCACTAAAATATATTTTGTTCATCCTTTTAGGGATACAAAACAACGTTCAACACAGAACTCCAAAAAATGTAAAACTTCCAAATTGCCTATAGTTTGTTCTGTACTCAAACGAGCAAGAAATGTCCGCACTTCCCATGTTCTGGTGAACATCTTTCAGCCATTCTGCCGAGGCCTTGAGAAAGGGGTGTGTGGTGGTGTGAATTCAAAACTGAACAAGACTAAACTATTTGCTATACTGTTATGCATTGTTCTTATCCTTTTATGCAACTATTTGCTGTAAAGGTGTATTTTTCACTTTATTTTGTAAATAGCTTTTAAATGTGTAACATATGATAAAAGAGTTTATAAGATCCTTTTTTAAAAAAAACAGACGTTTTTGTTTGGCTTCTTTTAAAAGCTGGAATGACACAGCAGTGTTGATTTTTTTAAAAAGGAAACCTTGCCTGCATGCATGGTTTGTCCCTCT